ATTGGTGTAAAGCGAGGAAAGAACCGCTACGCTAACCCGCTCCCCCGATTTGAAAGCAAGTGGGCTCCAAGAGATATCCGTGTTCAGCATCCTTTCAAAAATACTGATAGAAACCATTACAATTTTAGAATTCGGGAGGTATTACTCTTTGGGCTCTTTTAAGGATATGGAAATTCACTTAGAAATGGAACTTTGGCAAGGACAGCCCAAGAAGCAAATTTTTGGGGAAGAGAAGGCAAACCTTTTTTTCGGGGGGACGCAGAATTGATTTTTTTTCATGTAACCTTGCATTGCTTTTCAGAGCGTTGAGGCTATGTAGATGGGGGGAATATGCAGGTATGAAGGAAGCGAAATGAAACAGACATTTCACTTGGAACTAACATTTCAGCTTTCACATAAGTAGTTGCCTATAGAGCTACGTCCAGGTCTTCGCTCCATTGTAAACACGCGGGGGACGTGCTGAAAATAGACGTAGCCGCGTAGCTCTGGAAGCCCGTTTCGAGCGCTGCCCAAATCCGAATCAAATTTTTTGGTGGTCGGGATTATCTCTAGAAAATGGTTGCAGGCGCTCCCCAGTGGCCAAACGATCGCTGATGACAGCAACTACGACTCCATGTATTTGATTGGGATTCGCAAACTTGTCCTGGAAAGCCCAGTCTTACGGCTGGTCTCCTCGATCACTTTAGCGGCACCCCCGCCGACGGCGGTGGGAGACATCTTTTCCATGTTTAACGTTAAAGGTCTGGATGTAAGGGCCGATTCATACTGCAGGCGAACGCGAAAGCGAACTTGACATCACGACAGATTTGAAGTAAAATTTTGCTTCGAGTTGAAATGTGTTTAACTTTTGCGAATATTCGATCTGCTCTCAGTTTTCGCGGCAAGCAAATGAGCTGGCCTCTATGCTTGTATCAAGATCGAGTGCCAAATGTTAAAGGCAACAAGAACAAATCAAAGTGATTGCAATCATTATAATAAAATGTGAATATGATTTTCACACAAATTCCGCTGCCACGTGCTCAACACAAAGTCATTCACAATCACTTAAATTCATACCGACCTTTGTGCAATTTTTCTACAGTCCTTTCTTTAGATTGATTGTACGGGGAGAGCGCGAACGCAGTCCCCACTATCAGAAATTGTACTCCCGAGTTCCCCACGTTTGGGGGAATCGCAAGGGTCAACCCGCCCGAGTGCAATGGCTAGGCCTCGCCTTGGGAGAGCCGCCTTCTTGATCACGGTATCTCCTGAGCCAGGTAAGTATGACTTCACAGGAAACGTTAGGGCCATTTAGCGTCTAGGGGTATCTAACCTTGTCATGGTGGTTGTGTTTTGGTGTTTGAAACTTGCGCGGTAGGCAAAGCAACGATACTGAACAGCGCATGCGCAGTTCCTTTTACATGCAAACCAACTTATTGTCATGATTGTCCAGGTGCGATGGCTCGTGGATTTGAAAGCTGTTGTTGTTGTTTTATTTTAATGGCGTTTTTAGCATCTCAGGCTATTTGCGCCAAAAACTGTACGTTTATTCATACACTTTATTAATCAGCATCACATTACGGAGTTAGGAAGAAGGTCCAAGTTTTAGAGGCAGGAGGAAACCGGAGTACCCGGAGAAAACCTTCGAGAGCGAGTATGGACCGGAAACCGAATGCACTGAAAGCCTGGGCTAAGCCAGGGCTCGAACCCGGGCCTCATTGGTGCAAAGCGAGGAAAGAACCGCTACGCTAACCCGCTCCCCTGATCCTAACGTGGTTTGGCCCCATATATTTATTCTTTTCTATACCTCCAAGGTAATACGGTTATACGACAAGTCCAAAGACTAACCATGTCTGATTTACGAAACACTGAAATGGATAAGATGTAGGCAGGAGGTCGTGGGTTTGAGTCCCACCTGAGTAAGCTTGTGACTTTTTCGCAAGCTCTCGGACAAGCACTGAGCATACATGTACAGTGTTTATATATACGTTGGGTAAGGGCAAAACCCATTACATAAATTAACATCTCCCCAACGCAAAAATACATCTTGAAAACAACACAAATTTATAGACAAGTACCGGCATAAATAACCCTTACGCGGCCAATGGGATCGGAGATTGTCCGCTGAGTCCTGGAACGGGGAATATCGAGCAGTTGGGATTACGCGCTTTGATTTATTTCCTCCAACGCCTTGAGGGAGCAATATTTTTATCTCAAATTTCACACTAAGTGAGACTAAGTAAGCTCTTAACTTTCTAATTCATAAATCTTAAGTTTGCATACCCTCTACAAAGTTCCAAGGAATTTTAATTGGACCGATTGGGCCTATATCCAATTTTTTTTGGAAGTGCAAAACAAAAAAGACTTTAAAAATGCATCCCAAAATTTAAAAAAACAACGTTCTTAAAATCTTGCTGTTAGTTATATTATTATTGGTTTATTAAGTAATTAGGGAGGGTGTAATGGGGTTTCCTGGAATTTATCAATTTTGGACTTTTATGTTAATGTGGGATTTACGGAGATTAAAGTGAGTCACAGCACGAACACTCTGCAGAATTTGTTAGTATGCGCGATTTCCAACTAGGGGCTTACCACCGTTTGTGAGTTTTGAACTGAATTCCATGACACAAATTCACAAAGATTCAACTGCACGTATTAGGAAGATAATAGTACAAGTATTTAATTGTAATTTTGAAGCTTCCCCCCCCAAAAAAAGGAAAATCGAGGGACCAGGAAACGCCGAAGTGCGCTACGTCTCCGGGAATTCAGGGCCGGATCTGTTATTAACGGGGTGTGGTCAATTGGAATATAAGGCAGGTATGGCAGTGTTGTCCGTTTGTTTTCGGGGATGGGAAAAATATTTGTATCCTTTTACGGCCTTTCTAAGGGATAAGGACTACATTTTGGAGTTCTAACTTTTTGAAGGAAGGGGGGAAAACATTTTTTTGGCTATAGGGCTTTTTGCAGGGGGCATAGTCACTGTTACCCCCTCCATCGCCCCTGTGTCACGTGGGACGACTTCTGATTGACTCTGATCATATAGTGCACCGTTTTCAAGAAGGGACGGGCATATCGAATTTTACGAGTACTATAGGCCTACATTTTCGAGATAATCATAAGAGAAGTTTCCCTAGTTGTAAAACTGCGAGAAGTATTGCCTTTCAACAACTTTCTACATTTGAAATACGTTGTATTATTCTTTGCATTACTAAGCCAGTTATTGTCATGAAATCACTCATAATTAGGAGTAATTTAGCTCAAATTAACCAATATTAGTGGCGCGTCCAGCGGGGGGCATCACCCTGACGGGATTTCCGTTCTTTTTCTCTCTCTCTCTTTTTTTTTTACAAAGAATACTTCATTGGTGAGTAGGAAAGAAAGTAATCGATAAATTTATCAAATACATTAGCACCAAAACTCCAAGAAAGCAACACAAGCAAATAAAAGCAAAGATGTCGGGACGGCGTGAGTGAGGCTTTTGATTTTTTTTCTATCCCAACATCATGTTGAAGGAGTCCAAAGCCACAATCGCCCCCCCCCCACCAAAAGCTGGATACACCACTATGGCGTAATACTCTTTTAAAAGTATCATGTACCTGTCGGTAGCCTATCAACTTGAGTACGAAGTCCTACGCCAAGAATTACGTTTATGAATAAGTGTGTGGCCGTAACTAAGACCGTTTCCGTGACATAGAAAGAGAGAGAGAAAAAACTAAGACCGATTCCGTAGTCTCCAGCGTTATTTGTTGTGTAAGAAAGTGCAAGGTATAAAATGTGAAAATTCTGCACCTGAGCAACTTCAGCAAAGATTATCAATCGATCAAGATTGTACTCTGAAACGACTACCTTTTGGGGCCTAAAATAATGAATTCATGAAGAAAAATTAATTTGCGCAAATTGCAAATAGCGCGCACAAACATTGGCCAGTGAAATTTGCGCGCCCTGTTACCGCAAGTTTGCGCTTTAACGAAGCTACGCATTGGCGTGACTTGCCGCTGAAGTTTGTGGGAAATTTCAGCTAAAATGTTCGGGAGCCCCGGCAAAGACCAGCTGATATTCCAGTGCGGTTCGTCAATGAAAGCAGTCCTGACTTGCTTACTTTTAGCGATCACTTATGTGGGCAGTCTGTACATTTGGCGAACAAATCTCCCAAGGTGGGTGTAACGTCAGAATGTAACGGTATGAGGAGGGAGGCATGACCATGAAGACAGCTCTGCGTGCAGTTTCTAGCCCGTATTATTGTTATAGCATTATTGGCATGCTGCAGTCCCTGTACATCCAGTGTGAGGTTGTTATGCCCCAATTGAAGCGTCAGTCCCAACTGTAGTTGGGACCGTTTGAGACCGGGACCGTCCCAGTTGTAGTGATTACCTAGGCCTTAGCTTAGCCGGCCCAATTTCCAGAACGTTTGAACTGTTTTTACAAACTTGTACAGTCATTAGGCCTGCCAAGTTGGTATAGCATAGCCTGGTATAGCTCTTTAAGATGAATTATGTCAGGAGTGACAGTGTTTTAGCTGCATAAACTTGAAAAAGTCGAGTAATTTTCTGTAGAAATTTACCAACTGTAGGCAGGCCTAGTTGGGCCAGCCCAATTGCAGCACTGTAGCCTCAGTGCAGGCATAGTTGGAGTTGTCCCAAGTTGGGACAGATACTGTAGTTGGGTTGTAACTAGCCCAGGCTGGATGCCAGTCTTCATTACATTATGTAGTATGGTCAGGAAGTCTACCTGGGCTAGGTTGTAACAAGCACATTACACATACATGTACATAGACACCCCAACTGAGGTGAAGTTAGGGTAGTCTTATACAGACTAGACATGCTAGAGCTGCAGATGTTGGGCGCAGCCAGCAATTTATGTGATCATCTGATCTTTGTGCCATCAGTTTATCTGATTCTAATTGCACAATTTGCTGGTTATTCTGGTAACAGCGGTCCAACGATTTTCAATGAGGGGGGGACAGTTGTGAGACCATCAGACATCAGCCATTAATAGACTGATCCATCGAGCCCCACCCCATTATGGAACCTGCAAAAAGTGAGGGGGGGCATGCACCCCGCTCAAAAAAGTCGGTGAGGGGCCACTGGACAAATGGTCTTTTCTTTTTAATTAACAGTGGCAGAGGATCGTTTCTAAAAGGGAATTGAAGTCAGAGATTTCGTATAGAATCAACTGATGATAAGACACTATCAGGGCCATTACTGCATCAGTCTGTAGCATTGAAAGCAGCAACTAACAAACTACCCGGTAACAAAATGGATCTTATACTCGATTTTGTACCTGGATTCATCTTCGTGAGTGGGTCCAGACAGCTCTAAATAAGAGACACAATTGCATCAATTGATTTCATTTTTGACGAGTTTGCAAAAATTTGTTCACCTTTCATTTCTTGTTTTATTGGTCTTCAGGGATGACCCCAGCACTATTAAGAGGCGGAGCCTGAGTGCTGCCATAGTAACGCTCCTCGCCCCTGTCTGCATTCTGACTCAGGCACACCAGGCAAAGGACGTAAAGGTAACCGTGGAAACCAACCATTGGATGCTGCATCTCTGCCGTGTTTGACAGACTACCAATTTGCTACGTGTCATGTTATTTGCAAGTACCCCCGAATTGTAAAAGTAGCTCTGAACAATTTTCCATTTCATGTTTTTGTACCAAAAAGGATTTGAAAATGAAGGGGAATGTTCAGTGAGCCTCAGTTTGTTGAAAGGAGATGGAAGGCTCTTGTTCAGAGTTGATTTTTGGGGGTGTATGTTTTCTTCTGGTGATGTTGTTTTGGTGATTTTTTTTTACTCAGGATTTGACAGGATTATCCATCTGTGTCAGCATTCAACAAACATTTCAATTTTTCAGCTTGATGCTGCTCGCCCATTGTCAACCCCCCATGCCCAAACGTATCAAATTTGCTGGTTTCGTTACACCCACAGGGCTACACAATTTGGCAGCATCTTGGAGTTCGGCAGGCCGGTCTCATTACATCTCTCTCCGTACCACTGTTGCTTACCATGGTATGTGAGTCTGGGTACTACACATGAAGTGCCAAGAATTAAGTAGGCTGCATGCAACTGGCTTGGCTGCTGTTGGCAGTGATACAAGAGTCTAGGGAATGTGGTTCATTCATGTGACGTCATTGTAACTTAAACAGCACCCATTTACATGGTGTTGCAATAAAGCTGTTGGAACTGGACACAGTACAAACTTGTTGTATTAGCCCATGGGCAGGGTTGTAGCTAGAAATGTTTAGTTCATCTGCAGGAATGACGACAAACCAGGCACATGTGTGCACCATTTAAACTTTTAAAAAAGGAAGAAATACAGATAAACCTATATGTCAGTACTTTCTAAGCTTTATTTTTAAAACTTCATTTTGTAAAACTTCAAAATCCCCATACCGGTTTAATGCAGCCAAATCTTGCCGGCAAGCTTCATTTTTAATCCCAAGTGCAGGTAGATGATGTGGAATGCCGTCCGGCGCCAGCCATCACTGACCGGCATTACTCATAATTAGTGGAACTTGTGCCTGCTACTAACGAACTGGATAGGTGCTAAGTGTGGCTGATGACTTCCATAAGTTTCAGAAAAAGATTCGGACAAACCTTTACCTCATTGTCCATTTATGTCATGAGTACATACATGTATAAGTTTTAGTCATGTTACATCTACATGCGTGTGTCGCTGCTGTATCACAGAAATAGAACACTAAAGCGTTATTTTTTAAGTTTTTGGATGACTTTTCAAATTATATTTATCCTTGGACTATTTCTGATATTTTGTCATCACAGGTTCTATTTTTAGGTCCACTGTACATGCTGTTGATAAGCGATACCAGACAATTGTCTCCTGGTAAGTTGGCAGGTCTGGGCTATAAGCTGTGTATTCACTAGTTAATACAGACACACTTTTCTCCTCTTATGCCTAATATGCTGTTAAGTTTTTGTGCATTTATATTACTGAAGTTTTGACAAGCTCTTGTATTCAAATATGGGGGAACGTGCCCTGCCTAAAATCTTCAAAAACTGTAGCCTATGTATGCTGATGAGGTCAGTGGTAATTATTTGCCCATATTACTAAGTTGGTTGCACAATATGTTTGCTCTTATTCTGTAGTTGTGCTGTTACCCAGGGAGTGGTTGGCTAGGTCAAAGGGCATGGCCATCGCTGTACGAAACTACATTGTGGTAAGTTGACTGGCGCATGCCTTTTGAGCCATTTGCGAGCCATTTGTTGAGTAGCTTGCGTGTCCCTTTGCTTGATTTGTGGTGCTAGTTGACCAGTGTACGTGTGTGCTTCGCTATGGTCATTTAACGAGGGAACTTGATTGCTACTTTGTTTCCATGGACAAGCCTTGTATAGATCACTGGCATTGCATTTTGACCGAGTGGAACAAATTTTATCTCTCACTTCCCTACAGGCTTGTTTTAAAGTTGTCATTCAAATGATGCCCACTTTTTGGTGCCAAGCCTCAGTCTAATTTATTCAAGCTTTGGTTAAACTGTGCCCACCGTTGTGAACTTTAAGGCTATATGTTCTCTGATAACATTATTGCATTTTTTTTTCAAATTAACATTCTGGCACCCTGCCTGTATGTGAACTTTTCCCATGTACCTTAAATTTCAAGTCAAAATCCCTCTTTCCATTCACATTCCTGAAACTTGTTGTATGTAAGCTGCCATTTTGGAACTGGTACTTTGCCTCATGCTGCCAACTTTTTTCTCTAAATATTTGCACACAATGTGGTGGATGGAAATATTCATGGTAGATTTGTCTTTTTGTCCTTTTCTTTTTTTCTCTCAAACAATTTCTATTTAATTCTCACCCCCAGTTGGAAATTCTACTTTTCGAACTGACCACATCTATCCTAAGTTATCAGTGGTGCAGTGTAATGGTTGGCAGTATCACGCCTTGGATCCAACTTACCCAAATCAAACTAAATCCTGTACTTTGTTGTGAATACTTTAATGCTGCATCAATGGTTCACCTTACTTTGGCCAGGATTGGTGTCCAAACTTCATTTTAACTTCAGTGAACACTGCCATGGTTCGCTGCGTAGTGGTAGATTTGGGGTTCCTTATTTGAGACCTGCTACAACAAAATGAGCATATACTCAGATTTTTTCAAATTTGAGCTTTAGGTATTTTTGAAATCTGCAATAAAAGAGCTTTTTAATGATATATAATTTATAGATGTACAACCCCAACTTCTGTCATATGAGCCTTGGAAATGTGTTGAGTCTGCATACATTTTACAGAATAGCTTCCTAGAAAAGAGGCTTCAAAGATGTGTATAAAGAAATCACACAGAGTAATGCACGTTGAACAACAATTCCTGAAAACATGTGCTAAAAATAAAGCTGGCCGTAGTGTAAGCTTTCAGACGATACCCAAATTATGTGGGTTGTAGGACTGGGAAGGTGTGGGTGAACAGGGTGAAAGCACCAATCTAATTCTTCATGTTTTGTCATTGTCTGCGTCTTTGTTTCAAGAGTTCTGAAGATGAGAACGGTCACCACAACAAAAATGGGCTGAAAATATTCTTTTCTGATTGCAGAATTGCCCCAAAACTATAGAATGGGCAGAGAGTGATGTGTAGATTAAAACAAAAATTATAAAAAAAGCAAAAATCAACCACCCCTTTGAATTTTGACTTTGGCCCACCTTACAGCAAAACAGTACTGTGTGACTTGATGCTCATTTTGTGGTAGCAGGTCTCATTTGGCAAGGGTTTTCTATGTTATTAGGATTTATTCTTCATGTACCAGTTTACCTAACTGTTCATGTCTTACCCAGTTCTGAGTTATGTAACCAGAAACTTTTAACTGACATTAAGTATTACACAGTAGCCACTTGGACCATGAAATATGAAAAGTTTTGAGAGTTTTTGTTGAGAAATTTTGATATTAATAAACCCAGTACATTTCCATTTTGGTTATTGTCAGTTGAAATCGCGTGCTCTCATTCAGCATCATTAGCAATGTAGATGTTCAAAATGTTGTAATTTTGGGACATGAAGGATTGAAGGGGTAACGATAAAGACATTCCTGACGTAGTTTGTTTATTCATTTCTTTTTTGTTTTGTCTGAAGTTAGTTTGGAATGGATTCCCATTATGGGGGCCTGGGTATCCATGTTTTATTTGATAGAGTACCCAGTTCCCAGACTCCCCATAAATGCACACGATTCATTCCACCCTTATGTCTGCTCTACCAGGGGCCAGTAACAGAAGAAATTGTCTTCAGGGCTTGCATGCTGCCACTACTAGTGCCTTGCCTCGGAAACCTCCGAGCCGTCTTTGTGTGTCCCCTCTTCTTTGGCGTAGGTAATAAAACCATTATTAAATTAGGTGCTAATTTTTTCGGCTGCATGGCTAAGCAGGGCAAAATTTTTTTGGTGGTGAAAGCAGGTTACCCTCTTAAAATGCCATGCAGTTTTTAAGCATTTCTAGGAGGGAACCAAGGATTCCTCTGAAGCACTCTAGCTAGCCCTAACCACGACTGGGCCGGGAATCAAACCCGGACTGCAGAAGTGAAAAGCAAGGCCAGAAGCACTATGCCAACCTGACTCCTCAGTGATCACAATATATACTTGTGACTACTTCAGGCTCAGCTCCAACTCCATACTTTGGGGGACTAACAAGAGACCTGCCTGACACTTATAAAAGCAGCCCACTTTTTTCAGATCTATTGATTTGCATAAATCCTTGTTTTTTACATCAGTTTCAGATTTGGTAAGTTTGAGTTTTTTTATACAATAATGCTGGTATTATATTGCCTGATGTTT